CCTCATCTTATGGTATCCATAGCGACAGCCCCCATTCATTTCCATGGCAACTGCATCCTGATCCTGTCCCCTGCTGGCTGCCTGGCTCCGGGCAGTGCCAATAAAGGGAAGGAGGGAAAGAGACCTCCCATTAGGAGCAGCATCTGGGGAGAGTCAATGCCCCATGCCTTGGGCAGGCCACCCTAAATCCCTACAGAATGTCATGCCCTGCTTCTCCCCATCTTAGTGCCTTGGCTCACACAAGGTCACTCACTCACTTCTACCAGCTCCTCCTAGGCAAGGCCCTGGTCAACGCTTTCTCCCCAGGGAAGCCTCTAAGGCAGCAGGGGAACTAGTCCAGGCTCTGGGCTTTGGATTCCTGTTCTGCAACATGCTAACTCTGAGACCTTTGGCAATTACTTTCCCCCTCAGAGCCTTTTTCCTCACCTGCAAAATAGGAATCCTAATTCTTCCTTCACGTTTGTCATGCAGATTAAATAATGTGCGGAAAATGCCTGACACAGGGAAGGTGCACTGTAAGTGTGAGTTTATTTTTATTCTGCTCAGCCACCCCCAAGCCGAAGGAATCTCTCTCCTGAGCTCCCCCAGCACTTCCTCTGTTCCCCAGCCTTGAGAACTTTCAGCTTTGTACTGTGGTTATTTGTGTAACGTGGTTTATTTCCCCCGCTGCAGAGGATGCGCTTCAGTTTCCCGCACAGAATGGCCCAGAAGACAGTGCACATAGGCACATGTGTGTGTCTGTGTGTATCTGTATTCTTGTGTTCTTTGCTCCTGGTGGGGAGGAGTCTGGGGTGGGGGGGGGGCTCCCAGGCCCTTTCTGAAGTCCAGGAATCCAAAGAGGGAATTGCATTTCCCTCTAGCCCTGCACAGATGAAAAACAAGTGCAGAGAGGTAAAGGGACATGCCCAGGCTCACACGGCTGGTAAATGGCACTCAAGACTTGAAGCCAGGCTTCCCAGCTTTTTCCTGCCCGTATTATGAGTGTGTGTGTGCATGCGCGCACATACCTGTGAGTGCATATGAGAGAGAGAGGAGAGATTTTCCATGCGATCAGCATTGCCCTCGGTGTTTTGGGGGCCCTGAGTAAAGGGATTTCACATGCCCAGGTCTGGTCTCTTCAGCAGTATGTATGATATCAGGAAAAACACCCTCAAACACTGTCCTTTTTGCCAGGCCCTCTTGGGGGAGGCTGTGCTGACAGCCTGACCCCCCTGCCACTCTTCCCTTGGCAACCAAAGTTGGGGGCCAGCTCCGAAGGGAAGAATTGCCAACGAGTGGAGAACCAGGGGCAGCATGGAGCCAGAAGTGGCGAGAGGCAGCGAGATGTCATGAAAAAACAGCCTGGGCCCTGTGTTTGCATCCTGACTTTCTCACTTAATAGGCTGTGTGACCTTAAGCAAGTTTATATCACCTCTCTGAGCCTCCATGTCCTCATCTATAACACGGGGCTAATGGCGTCTTCCTCGATAAGTTTCAAGGGTTCAGTCAGCTCATTAATGCTCTTGCCCTAGGGATAGAGGTGACCATAGAGCCCTATGGCAGCAGAGGAAGGACCTGTAAGCCAACCCGTGTGGAGGGGGCAGGTCGGCATGGAAGGGCACACGTGAGCTAAATGTTGAAGGGTGAGCAGGAGGTAGCCAGGTTGAAGTCATGGGGCAGAAGGTATATGAGGCAGGGGTCAGGTCAGGAGAGCCATCCACCGCTCTGCTGAGGTAGTTGGAGGTTATCCCCTGGGTGATGATTCCTATAAAGCCTAAGGTAGATCACATCCCTCTTCTGCTCATCTCAATCAGAGCAAAAGCCAAAGTCTTTATCGCGGGCTCAATGTCCTTCACGATTTGGTCCCCATTCCCCCTCTGATCTTACCTCCTCTCACTCTCCCCTCATTCACCCCGCTCCAGCAATACTGGCCTCCTTGCTGTTTCTCAAACATGCCGGGCATTGCTCTACCTTAACGTCTTTGCACTGGCTCTACCTTCTGTCTGGATTCCTTTGGCCTCAGGTGACCCCAGCACTCACTCCCTCACTTCCATCTGGGCTCAGCTTATATGCCATTTCTTCAAAAAGACCTTCCCTGACCGCCATGTTGAAAACAGCACCTTGGATCACTCTGCCGTATTTTCCTTCCTAGCACTTATCTCTACCTGAAATGATAGTGTATATTCACAGTCTGCCTCTCCCACTAGAATGTCACCTCCCCTAGGGAACACATCTTGTGTGTCTTGTTCACTATTATATACCCAGCACCCAGCACTGTGCCTGGCACATGGAAAATGCTCAACTGTTGCTCATTGAATGAGTTCTGAGGAGCTGTGGGAGGGTTCTAGTGGGAGAGTAAAATGGTCAGATCTGTACTTTGGAGGGCTCTCTCTGGCCGCAGGCTGGAGAATGGATAGGAAGAGGACACTGGCGGCGGAGGTCAAGGCTCAGGTGGGAGGATTTATTAGCACAGCCACCAGAGCTCATTCATTGACTCCTTCACTCCAGAAGCTTTTATCGAGCTACTCTGTTCCAGGCCTTGTGCTCGGTGCTGGCAACAGATTACCAAATTCTCTTCCTGTGCTGGGATTCTGGGAGTTATGAACACAAATAGCTGTCACGCTTTGCCAATGCTAACCTGTACCATAAAAAGAAGGACAGACATGTGCTGTGTGTGGGAGCTCTGAACAGGATCAGCAATAATTTCTGGCTGGAGGCGGGCTTCAGGAGGGCTTCTTAGTGGTGGCATATGACCTGAATCTTGATAGAAGTAGGGTGTGGGGGGATTTCTCAGATTGCAGATGGCAGAGATGATAGGGACTGCATTCCAGGTGGAAGGTACTGTATGAGCAGTTTGGGAGGTGGGAAGCAGAGGAGTATTTGGGAGAAACAGGATCTGGGCCAGGCTGGAGGGAAGGGTAGATGGATGGGGTGGGGGGCTGGCAGCTCACCCTGCAGACTGGCTGAATGTTTAAGAGTGTGAGCTCTGGAGTCAGACTGCCTGGATTTGAATCCTGGCTCCAGCATCAGTAGCTGTGAGAGCACTGATAAGTTACTTACCCTCTCTGGGCCTCAGTTTCTGGATGTATAAAATGAAGTTAAATCACAATATCTATCTCGTAGGGTTGTTTTGAAGAGTAAACAGGTTACTAAACGTGAAGTGGTAAGAACAGTGCGTGACGTGCTAAGTGCTCTATAAGCATTAGCTATTGTATCTTTGAGAAACCTCAAGTGCCAGAATGAGAAACTTGGGCTATCTCTTGTGGGCAGCGGGAGCTATGGATGGTTCATGAACAGAGGAGACAATTGGATCAAACCGGTGTTTGAGCTGTGTGCTGAGAGGGAGAGGTTTGGAAGATTGGTGGGCGGGATCCTTCAGTCCTGAGGAGCATCTTAGATGCCGGGGTTGGTTGGGGAGGGGCTAGACTAGGTCTGACCCCCAAAGTGGGACTTCACAAGCCCCTGAGACCCAGGAGGAGAGAGGATTTGGGGTAGAGGGCAGTTCCCCAGTCTGTTTCTGCCTTGCTCCTGGCAATGTTATAGACTGACGTTGGGAGGGTGGAGGATGAATGGTGGGCGGGGGGGCGCCCCTCTAGGGTGGAGCTGAGCTCTACCCCTGCAGCCCAGGACCTGGCCTGATGGGTGGGTGCAGCCTCCCCCCTGCACCCAGCCCCCAGCCCAAAGTGCTCTCCCACAAGGCTGGCAGGTCTTCAGCTTAAGTTCCTACACAGGTAGGGAGTTCCCCTACATCCAGCCCAGCTTGCCCTGCCCTGCGCCCTGGCCTCTGCTAAGTAGGGGTTGGGGAGTGGCCCCTTAAGCCTTTCCAGCCAAGAGCCCCCTCAACCATGTGCCTGCCCAAACCAGACCATTGTCTGGGCTCCACCACACCCATTCCCCCCACAACCCCCATGCCTCACCCACCTGTCCCTTCCCTCCTGGCCCCCCCTCCTCTGTTGTCCTCACCTCTGTGGCTCCTCACCTTGCCTGCTAGGCTCAGGGCGCCTGGGCGCTGTCGCCACCTGGGTTCCCTGGCAGCCTGGTTGCCATGGCACCATGGGAGCAGGTCTGGCGGAACAACAGCTCTGGGCAACCAGGGCAGGCAAGGCCCAGTGCCCCGCTCCTGCCAGTCTTCAACCTCAAGACTTTTGCGCCCCCCTCAGCTGAGCAGAGGAGGCCATGAGGAGAAAAAAGAAATTGCCCCGCAGGGCAGCTCTCTACCTGTGAGGATGCTGAATTGGAGGCGCCCTCGCTGTCTCGGAGCCTGAGCCCTTGCAGCCAGGGAACCTGGGAACTGGCTAGGCCAGTGTCCAGGCAGCTGAGGGCAGGGGTGGGGCTATAGGGGGCAGGGCTTGGGAGGGGAGGGGGGAGTCTGGAGGCTCAGGATGCAGGAGTGGGCCCCAGGCCTGGGGTCAGGGCTGATCTGGGGTGGTGCTGGGGGATCAGGGTGGGAGGGAAACTGCAGCACACAGTGTTGGGGACAGAGCCATGGCGGGCTGGAGCTGAGAGGGGAAGGGGACTGGGGGGGTGGGGGCTGTGAGGGAACTGGTCCATGAAGGGAAGGAGGGTTTGGGGATGGAGTTGTTAGGGGCCAGGACTATTAGAAAAAGGGACTTGAGTGGACAAGACTAGGAGGAGACTGGTCTGGGGATAAGGCTGTGAGGGGACGTAGCCATGAAGGGGCCAGGTGTGCGGGGTGAGTAGGAACGGGGACAAGCCTGTGAGAAGACCCAGCCTTGAGGTAAATGAGTCTAAGCAGCTGGAGCTGTGAGCGGTGGGGCGGAAGGGAACTGAGGGTAGGGTTGTGAAGACAAGGGGGCCTGAAGGGAAGGGACTGCAAAGGGCAGCTTGGAGGGGAGGGTAGAACTCCCCTCTGGCCTTTAAAAGTTGGGGTTCCTATGTCTGTGAGGAAGCTGGGGAGGATGGTGTTGTGGGAAGGGGATCTGGTCCACCCACGTTCAGTCTGGCTGAGCAGGCCCATCTCCCGGTCCCACATCCTGGCTCATCTTATCTCATCCCCACAGTGTGGAGGGTGATGCCCCAGGCAGTGACCTGAGCACAGCAGTTGATAGTCCTGGGAGCCAACCCCCCTACCGGCTGAGCCAGCTGCCCCCCACCAGCAGCCACATGGGGGGCCCCCCAGCTGGGGTGGGCCTTCCCTGGGCTCAGCGAGCTCGCCTCCAGCCAGCCAGTGTCGCCCTGAGGAAGCAGGAGGAGGAGGAGATAAAGCGCTCCAAGGCCCTATCGGACAGCTATGAACTCTCCACGGACCTACAGGACAAGAAGGTGCAGAGGAGATGGCTCTGGCTGGGAATGGGAGCTGGGAGTGGGAATGGGGGTGCGAGAGAACCAAGGGAGGGATCGGGATGTGTCATTTGAGGGTGGTATCCAGGGAGGGATAGGGAGCCTAGAATGGGAGACTAGCTCTAAGATCCTTCACCCTACTGGGGATTCACCCACTCATTCACCACCCATCCGCTGAGTCTCCTGTTCACTCAACAAACACCGACTGAGCTCCAAGCCTGCACTGGAGACATAAAGATGAATGAGACCCGGACCCAGTCCTCCAAAAATCTGTCAAATAGGAGAAACACACACATATCTTGACACTTTCAGAAGAGTGTGCTATACTATATCACATATATCACACAAGATATCATTTAGCTTTAAAAAAAGGTGGGGGGGGCATAAAATACCATGTACAGAAAAAAAACAAAAACCAAACCTGGAAGGACATATACCAAAATGTTAATGGTGGTTATTCCTAGGTATCGGGACTTCAGGCAAACCAATCTTCCTTCCTCTCTTTGTTCCTTCCTTCTTTCTTTCCCTCTCTCCCCACTCCCCCTCCCTTCCTTCCTCTCCATCTTCTTTCTCTCTCTTCCTCTTTCCTTTCCTCCTTCCGGCTCTCAATTTATTTCTTACTTTCTCTCCATTTTTGGCTTCTCTGGGTTTTCTTTCGAACTTTTTTTTTTTTTTTGAATAATGTACCTCTACTTCTTGTAAATAAGAAAGAAAACCACAACCCAGCCCCATGTGACAAGCGCTATCGAAGATTACAGTGAGGACACCACACAGAGCCCAGCCTGGCATGTCCAGGCAGCTCTAGGCAGTTCGCTGTGACTGGGGGGGTGGGCGGTGGTGTGGTTGAGGCCCAGGGAGATGAATGAGGCTGGCGTGAGTTTCTCACCTTGCTCCCCTCGACCCTCCCCTGCTAGGTGGAAATGCTGGAGAGGAAGTATGGGGGCTCCTTCCTGAGCCGCAGGGCTGCCAGGACCATCCAGACGGCCTTTCGCCAGTACCGCATGAACAAGAACTTTGAGCGGCTCCGCAGCTCAGCCTCAGAGAGCCGCATGTCCCGCCGCATCATCCTTTCCAACATGAGGATGCAGTTCTCCTTCGAAGAGTACGAGAAGGCACAGAACCCCGCGTACTTCGAGGGCAAGCCTGCCTCGCTGGACGAGGGCGCCATGGCTGGTGCTCGGAGCCACCGGCTCGAACGAGGGCTCCCCTACGGAGGCTCCTGTGGAGGGGGCATCGATGGTGGCGGAAGCTCCGTCACCACATCCGGAGAGTTTTCTAATGACATCACAGAGCTCGAGGACTCCTTCTCCAAACAGGTCAGCATCCCTGCAAAGGGCCTTTCCTTCCCAACCCCATCCCCATGCGCTGGCTACTCCTCCCGCTCTTTACCTATATTCCATACCAAAAGGAGTTGCCTGGCAAGCATTTGAGGAGGGGCTGTGAGATCGATGAGAAAGATTTGGCCAGAGGAAAGGATCAGATCGTTAAAAGAAGCAAGTTAAAAATCTAGGTGTGGAGAACACATAAGAAAATTTACGTTCCCACTCTTTGGAACTTGATCCACTGTCAAGTTCAGGCCTAACTCACAGGTGATGAGCTCCTACTGTGTGCCAGGGGCTGGGTGTGCCTCATAACAGTCTGCAAGACCGGGGTGGGGGGGTGATGGTGGTGGTGGTGTTTTCCCAGTTTTACAGAGAAGGAGACTGAGGCCCCAAGTCCCTGAGAGGCGAAGTGACTGCTCCAAACTGGAGTGGAACTCAGCTCTGTCTGGTTCCAAACTCTGTGCCCTTTCCCTTATACCGCACTCCTAGGGACCAGGCTCTGTGCTGGGTACTGTGACAGAGACAGATGAGAGCCGTCCAGGGTCCTTGTTCTTAAGGATCTACGAGGCCAGTAGGAAATGGCAGACGTGTGTGCGTGGCTGTCTCCTGAAAGGATCAAAGGGAGAAGGGGGGAGAGGGGATCACAGTCTGGTGCAGAGATTGAGGAACCAGGCCTGGGGCCAGCTATCAGTGCTGTCCACATCCAATGGAGAAGTACATTAGTTACATGTGTTAGTTATATTGCTGTGTAACAAATGACCCCAAAATTCAGTAGCTTAAAACTGAACTTAAAGACTGAGCTTAAGCAAGAAACATGTATTACTTCATACAGTTTCTGAGGGCCAGGAACCTGAGCGTGGCTTGGCTGGTGGTTCTGGCTCAGGGTCTCTCATGAGGCTGCAATCAGGCTGTAGGGTGGGACCACAGTCTCTGACGACTTGACTGGGGCTGATGGGTCTGCTTCCAAACTCACTCACTTGACTACTGGCACGAGGATTCAGGTCCTCACCATGGTGGCATCTCCATAGGACTGCTCATGGTGTGGCTTCCCCCAGAGCAAGGGGTCTGAGAGAGAGAGAGAGCACGAGAGCAGAGTGAACAGGAGTGCTCAAGAAGGAAGCTGTAGTCTTTCATAACCTAATCTCAGAAGTGACATGCCATCCCTTCTGCCATATACTGTTGGTTCCACAGACCATGCCTGGGACAGTGTGGTACATAAGGGTGTAGATACCAAGAGGTAGGGATCATTAGAGACCAGTTTGGAGGCTGGATACCACAGAGAAGCCGAGTTACCAGCCATGGTTTGGATTCTCACATAATAAATATTATGCATTTCCTAAGATAGAACCAGACGGAGGGCTCTGGGAGCCCGGAGGAAGCCGAGATTTGGGTTTACCCTGGGGGATGGCAGAGGCAAGAAATACGGATTGAATCAAGGAGGAGGTGGCATTTGGCTTGGGTCTATAGGGACATGAAGGAGGTATTGAGACATTTGAGAAGCGAACTTGGCACCATTACCCAGCTCCTGTGAGCTCACAATGGCTCCCTGGGAGTTGTTTTATATACTGCAGAGAACCTATGGAGGCGGGGGAGGGGACCCACTTCTTCTTGGCTGACCCATTAGGAAGATTCCCCCTTTTCCCCTCCCTCCCATCCTCCCTTCCTCCCTCCCTCCTCCCCTCCCTTTCCCCCTTCCTCATTCCCCCCCTTGCACCATCCCACCCTCCTTCCCTTCATCTTTCCTTCCTTTCTCTCCCTTTCCCCCTTCCCCTTTCCGCCCACACAGGTAAAGTCTCTGGCTGAATCCATTGATGAGGCCCTGAACTGCCACCCATCAGGGCCCATGTCTGAGGAGCCAGGGTCAGCCCAACTGGAGAAGCGGGAGTCAAAGGAACAGCAGGAGGACAGCTCGGCCACATCCTTCAGTGATCTTCCCCTCTACTTGGATGACCCAGTTCCCCCACCATCCCCTGAGCGACTGCCCAGCACAGAGCCCCCACCCCAGGGCCGGCCCGAGTTCTGGGCACCAGCCCCTCTCCCGCCAGTTCCTCCACCAGTGCCACCAGGGACCCGGGAAGATGGTGCCCGTGAGGAAGGCACTCGCAGGGGTCCTGGGTGCTTGGAGTGCCGGGATTTCCGGCTGCGGGCCGCCCACCTTCCCCTGCTTACCATTGAGCCTCCTAGTGACAGCTCCGTGGACCTGAGCGACCGCTCAGATCGCGGCTCTGTCCACCGCCAGCTGGTGTATGAGGCTGATGGCTGCAGCCCCCATGGGACCCTGAAGCACAAGGGGCCACCGGGCAGGGCCCCGATCCCACACCGCCACTACCCAGCCCCGGAGGGCCCAGCCCCAGCCCCGCCAGGGCCCCTGCCCCCAGCCCCCAACAGTGGCACCGGGCCCAGTGGTGTGGCTGGGGGTCGGAGGTTGGGGAAGTGTGAGGCAGCAGGCGAGAACTCTGATGGTGGAGATAATGAGAGCCTCGAGAGCTCCAGCAATTCCAACGAGACCATCAACTGCAGCTCTGGCTCCTCCTCGAGGGACAGCCTGAGGGAGCCTCCAGCCACAGGCCTGTGCAAGCAGACTTACCAGCGGGAGACGCGGCACAGCTGGGACTCGCCAGCCTTTAACAACGACGTGGTGCAGAGGCGGCATTACAGAATTGGCCTCAACCTGTTCAACAAGTACGTGCTCCCTCCCCTGCCTCCTCAGCCCTCCCTCCCCTGCCTCCTCAGCCCTCCCTCCCCTGCTAGGGGCGCTTGGACTGCGGGGGCTGAACTCCAAGCAGAGGCCCTGCTTCCACCGTCTTGTTTTGTGGACGGGCTTTCTCCCTGGCCTTTTCGGGGAAGAGGATGGGCAGCAGGGTGGCCGAAGAGAAAGCCCTCCCCACCACACACACATACACACACACACGCACACACACGCACACGTACGCACACACACCCCTACCTCTGTCAGAGGCAGCTCTAGGCCTAATACTGCCTCTGACTGGCTGTGGGACTTTGGGCAAGAAGATTCCTTCTCCCCAGTTCACTGTCTATAGGGATGGGTTCTGAACCTTGGTTCCCCCACATCCACTTTATGGTGGGGAGGCGATGTGAGGTATCAAGAGCCCTGCCCCGAGTCACAGGAGCCCTGGACCCCTAAACCGACTTCGGCCAAACTCTGTGTGCAGCTCTGGGCAAGGTGTGTTCCTTCCTTGGGCTTCGGAGCTTCCATCTATTGATTAGCAGGGTGTGTATATTTGAGGTGCTGGGGGCCCAAGGTGGGGTGCTGGAGTAGTCCGTGACCATGACCGAGCTCTTTCTAGATGCCTGGTCTTGTGCCAGGTACTTAGGAGCCGGGTGGAAGTGTGACATTTGGTCAGAAAAGAATGAGAAAGCGAGTGGCCTGTGTCTTCATAGTCTAGTAGGCACTGCTACCTGTATTTACTTCTCGAAATAGCTCAGGAAGGGGGGAAGTAGTGTCCCCATTTTAGAGAGAAGGAACTGAGGCTTGGAGAAGTAAAAGGAGTTGTCCTGAGTCATACAACTGGTAAGTAACGGACTTGAGACTCCGGTGGCACCAAAGTCTCTTCCAAATTCCAGCCTCGTGGGGGGGCCTCAGGCTCTGGGGTTCTGAATATGGGACAGTTCAGACCCGGATTTGGCCTCGTGGAAAGCAGGGCGTAACTTGTCGGTTGAACCACCCACAGAGGCTGGGTAATACCTTGTCTGGGCTCAATGTGGGATGCAGACAAAGTAACCTCTTTGCTTTCCTGTTTAGAGGGTCTGTGACCCAGAAAAAAGGGCGTAGCCTGGAGCTCAGGCCTTTTTCCCAGGAGTCCCCTGTGCCTGCTGGGAGTATGGAAGGCCCTGGCATAGAGCAGCCTCTCATTAGATCTTAATTTTCTTTCCATCGTAGTGTGGCTCCCGGGAAGGAAGGAGTTGGGTTGAGGATACCTTGGAATTTGGAAGCTCTGTGAGAGTGGCTTCCTCTCCTTGGGCCTCAGTGTTCCCATCTGTGCCGTGAAGGGATTGGACCAAATTATATATTCAACTTCCTTGGTTCTCCGAGGCTATGGTTGGGCCCCAAATTAGTTCAAGCAGTGGGACAGACAGCCGAGTTCTTCTGAGGACAGTCATCTCATCTACCTCCCCTCTTTCTGCAGGAAGCCAGAGAAGGGCATCCAGTATCTGATTGAGCGGGGCTTCCTGTCAGACACACCGGTGGGAGTGGCTCACTTTATCCTGGAACGGAAAGGCCTGAGCCGGCAGATGATAGGGGAATTCCTAGGGAACCGGCAGAAGCAGTTCAACAGAGACGTGTTGGAGTGAGGACCCCAGGATGGGGAAGACTGGGCCAGGGATTCCTGGAAAACGAGGGCAGGAGGGAGGAAGTGGGCAGCTGGTCCTTTTCACTCCGATAAACCTTACAAAACAGGATGAAGAGATCTTCCTGCTCCCATACCCCTGTATACTTCAAAAAGGTTTGATCTCTCTTAGCCCTATCCCTAAAAGTCTTCTGGGTGGCCCTGCTTGTCCTCTGACCTACTTTGGACCTCAGTTTTCCGAACTCTGAAAAGAGTGGGTCAATGGAAAGGACCCTTAGTAACATGTGTCTGGCCTTGATTTTTCTGGGGTGGATTCCATTTCAAACATTCCATCCTCGTAAGGATGCGAGGGCCATGGGTCCAGATTTTAGCAGTCTGGCCCCGGGGGCGTTTGTCCACTCGGGCAGGTCAGGGTAGGGCAGAGGTTTTTCTACAGAGGACTTGAGAGTGCCATACCTACTTCTTTGCTCCGCAGCTGTGTGGTGGATGAGATGGACTTCTCCTCCATGGATTTGGATGACGCACTCCGGAAGTTCCAATCCCACATCCGGGTTCAAGGCGAGGCCCAGAAAGTAGAGCGACTCATCGAAGCCTTCAGGTGTGCCTGTCTCCCACTCCCGAAGCTGCTTCCCTCCTTCCAGGGGGCTCTTCCCTCACCTCTCTGAGCCCCATACTTTCCTGACCAGAAAATGGCAATCGTAAGTCCTGTCTTGCCAGGCAGTTGTGCAGTTGTGAGGAACAGAGGTAGTGAGCCTAAAGCGTCCAGCTCAGCACCTGGGGTGGGCGTCCAACAGGTGACAAGAGCAGCTACAGCTAGTGCTTATCAACTACTCACCAGGTATCAGGTGCTGAGCTAGGCACTGTATACGATTATTTCGCCAAATACTCCCAACAACCCTACGAGGTAAGGGGCTTTCATTATTATTCCCATGTTGCACGTAAGAAATCGGAAATTTAGAGAGGTTAAGTAACTTGCTCGGGATCATACAGCAAGTAAGACGCGGAGCCAGGATTTGAACTCAGGTGTGTTTGCCTCCGTGACCCAACGCCCTTAGTTCTTCTCCTCTACTGTTCATGCTTTGGGGATCAGGCAGACCTGGATAGAAATCCTGGCTCCACCACGTCAGGGTAGGTAGCAGAGAAACAGAAGAATTGCCAAGAACCTGTTGCCCATAATGGCAGAAGGATTTGCCTTATAGTCAGAAAGATCTGGATTTTCATCTTGTCTTCGCCATTTGCCAGCTCTATTACCTCGGGCAGGTTACCTCTTCTCTTTGGGCCTCATTACTTCCTCTGTAAAATGGGGCTGCTAATCGCTACCTTGCAGGATTGTGATAGGATTACATGACACAATGTACCTAAGTCCCCTAGCAGAGCTCCATAAAAGGTAGTGGTTGTGATTTTTACATGCTAGTCTTGGGGAAACCGAAGGAAGAGGACATGTCCGAAAGGCTTGGGAATATTTCTTGGGGGAGAGGGTTGGGGGCACCAGACTGGGTTGTGGGGGGAGGGATGGTGGGTAGGTGAAGATCACTGGTGCCTGACCTTGGCCCTGATCCTGCCCTGCAGCCAGCGGTACTGTGTGTGTAACCCAGCCCTTGTGCGCCAGTTCCGGAACCCAGACACCATCTTCATCCTTGCTTTCGCTATCATCCTCCTCAATACCGACATGTACAGTCCCAGCGTCAAGGCTGAACGCAAGATGAAACTAGATGACTTCATCAAGAACCTGAGAGGTGACCCCAGACCTCCCTATCGGCTTGTCCCATCCTTCACCTGGGAAGGGAGAGTGGGCAGGGTGGGGGTGGGCTAGGGAAGGAGGGGGGAGATCACACAGGCTCCCTGGAAATGAGCCTGTGATGTTCTCTCATTTTCTGCCAAAGCTGCCACATTCCCCTATTAATTCACTCAAATATCGTTTGTCTGCTCATTCCTGCACCAAATACTGACGTAGTGGGTTCTGGGGTTATTACAGCAGTGAACGTGAGAGAGAAAAGCCCTGGTTCTTACAGAGCTTATACTAATCCACTCATTGACGCATCACTTTCTCTTTCCCACTCCTCTTTACTTATGCCCATAAAGGCTTATTTAATTATTCTCTGTACCCTTTCCTCCATCCATGCATTCACTTAGTCCCTTGACCAGCCAGCCAGCCAGCCAGCCAGCTGAGGCTGAGTGCCTCCCGTGTGCCCGGCCCTGTGATGGGCACTAAGGACACCATGGCCCCTGCCCCAAGAGAGCTTGGGGACAGTCTGTTTGTGGGACAGACTGACTTAGAGGACCAGATACCCAACACAAGAGAAAAAGCGAATCGTGATGTCAGACGGGCCAAAAGTGCAGTCAGAGCTCAGAGGAGGGAGATCCCACCTCCAACACACTTCCTGAAGGAAGTAGCATTTTCATTTTAAGGTGGGCCTTGAAGGCATGGATAATGTGACAGAACAGTAATAGAGGAGGCTTACCTAGCGGTAAGAATACAAAGGCACAGAGGTAGGAAAAGGTGTTGGGAGAACAGTCAGGATGGGAAGGTCAGTGAGAATCAATATGTGAGGGCCTTGAATGCCGGGTGAAAGGTGTCGCCTTGACGTTTTTTTCTTGGTTTATCGTATTGATGTCAAGCCCCGGCATCTCACCAAAGAGCAGCCTACGAAAAATGGCGCAGGCGTTAGGATTATTTAAACAGAAATGAACGAGGGAAATAGAATTGAGGAAAAACAAACAGATGAGACAAATTGGCTGACCGGCAGGCTGTGCGCGGTTGCTGGGCTCAAGCTCTTTGGCAGCTGAGGTAAAAAGGCGGTGTGAGGAAGGATGTTCTCTTAGCACCTGTCCAAGGAGGAGGCGTGGCATTCCCAAAGGAGAAAACATTTTCTCTAGAAGGAGGGTTAGAGGGAAGAGTGAGTGGGTTTCACTCAGCAGACAGTCAGGAGTGGAGAAGGATGGTAGACTTAGGAAGAGGGAGTTAGATCAGAGGCCATCTGGAGCTGTCTCCCAGAATCCTGCTATTAGTCATTCATTCATTCATTCATTCATTTCACCCATCCTCTCTCCCTCCCTCCTCCTCTCTCTGTATGTATGTATGTGTGTGTGTGCACACATTCGTATATGTGCGTGTGCATATATGCGCACATATATATGTGCTTACATGTGTATATGTGCGTACATATATGTGTATATATGTATTGTGTGTGTGTTTGGAGAGGCGGTACCTCTCCAAATATATATACATATATACACATATACATATATACAAATATATATACGTATGCATACATGTATGTATGTACATGTATATGTATATATGTATTATATATGTGTGTTTCTTGCCCCTCCAATTATTAAATAAATAAGCAAACAAACAAATGAAATGAATACTTGTTCATACCCAGAAATTATGGAAATAGAGCAAACGAGAAAAAATTGTTTAATCATCCTGAATTCTGCCCCCTGTTGGCAACCATGGTTGATATTTTGCTGTTTTCTAGTCTTTTTTTCCCTATGCATATGTAACTTTTTATACAGTTAAGATCATGCCAGGAATGTAATTTGTTACCCTGCTCTTCCCACTTACCTTGCTACAGGAATTTTCTCATGCTTTTTGTAAACATCAAGTTTTGAATAGCTGTGAATTATTTTAAGTGGATACACTCAGCTTTAGTTAATTATGCCTCTATTGTGAGAACTTAGGTTGTTTCGAAGTTTTCCTGTAAGTAGCACTCGTACCTGAATCTTTGCACATATTTCTGAGTAATTCCTTAGAGCAGATTCCTAGAAAAAGAATCACGGAATATTTAGGCTTTTGCCAAGTTACCTTCCGAAACAATTATGTTAATATACGTGCCCACTTCCCTGCCCCCTTATTAACACTGGATATATCATTTAACATTATTTTTGCTAGTTAGAAAGGCAAAGCTATCTGATTATTTTCATCACAGTGTGCTCTGAGTTGCCTAGAAAAAAATCCCCACACTGGGAAAGAAAGCAACTTGCTACTATCCAGTTGCTTGGCAAAGGACGCCTTTTCTGGCCCAGTCCTCCTGACCAAGGGACTGAGGGTGCCCGCTCCCTCCAGTCCTAGCCATTGTTTGCACTCCTGCCTCAGTGTGGGACATTGTGGAGAACCCCTGCCACCCACTCCCCACATCATGCAATATATCCCTGTGTCGCTCCCCTCCCCAGGGGTTGACAATGGTGAGGACATCCCCCGAGACCTCCTTGTGGGCATCTACCAGCGTATCCAGGGGCGTGAACTGCGAACCAATGATGACCATGTGTCCCAGGTGCAGGCCGTGGAGCGCATGATTGTGGGCAAGAAACCGGTGAGTGCCTTGGGAGGCTGCAGAGGGGACAGGGTTTGAGTCGGCTTCTGCCACTGAGTGATAGGTAAGTCAGTACCCCTCTCTGAGCCCCAGACTCCCCCCTCTGATGGAGTGGGTGATAATGCATTCCTCAGGGGTCGTGGTGCAGAGTGAGACCCTCTTGGCGGAATGAATCTAGCACACATCCTTCCCACCTGTGGTTTTGCCTCTCCATCCCAGGTGAGGAGCCAAGCTAATAGTTAGCTGATAACCAAAACCAAGAACACCCTCTGGTCTTGTAGTCAACAAACATTTACAGATGCCTTTCCACAGAGCCCAGCATTTCACTAGGGAGTAGGGACACAGATACGAATCAGACAGAGTCTCCATCCTTGGGGGCATTCACAGACTGGGAGTGGGGATGTCAGCCCAATACGTCTGCCTTATCGTCAGTCTAAGGGAGCAGCAAGGAGGGAGAGGTCATTTTCAGTCACTAGAACTGGGGTTTGGAGGAAGAGTGGAATATGGAACTGGGCAAGAAAGGTACTCCAGACAGAGAGAGCTCTACGGACAAAGGCAAGCCCAGGCCTCCGTTGCTCAGACTCCTCGTGTCAGAGTGACAGTGATACAGATCAGAGGTAGACTTCCTCTTGAGGTTGAACGATAAGGTGCCGGAGGCCCGAAGCTGGCGTGCTTGCCTTGCTGACTCCTATTTCCCCATGCCTGCCTAGGTCTTGTCTCTTCCCCACCGTCGACTGGTTTGCTGCTGTCAACTCTATGAGGTGCCAGACCCAAACCGCCCCCAGCGGCTAGGGTTGCATCAGCGGGAAGTCTTCCTCTTCAACGATCTCCTTGTGGTATGAGCACTGGGGCGGTGGGGGGCGGAAACGAAGGGGAGGTGGTGAGCTTGGACCCTGGGTCCGGGGTGAACCATGTTAACGTTGGCGGGTGGGGGCGTGGTGGGTGAGGTGCTTTGCCATGGTATCTGCGCAGTCTCGGATAAGGCACAGGCCCCCTCCGCCCCTCTTTTCCCTCTCGGATCCATTTGGAGGTGGTGACAGTGCCACAGGGGGAGAAAATGTGAGGACCAGGGGAGTTGACAGACATACAACCTGGGAAGCGGTAGGAAAAGTCCCTGTCCATCTCCGTAGCCCAGAGTGTTGGCTGGAAGGAGATGAACCTGTGACCCTGGGGTCACTCTGAAACCTTCGGGTGGTCAGGATGCTGGAAGTGAGTCTTAAAACCAAGCTCGTCACCACTGTAGACGTGCATCTTTTAGAGCTGGGACTCTTAAGGACCCTGCTGGTGGGAAGAGAATTTCAGGGTCTCCCGTCCAACCTCTTTCCCCGGGGCAAGAACCAGTTTCCTGCATGGCCCCCTGCTTGCATCACTGCGGAGACAGTTTCCTGGTTAGACAGCTCTGACTGATAGAAACTGTCTCCCAATGGGTTTCCTCTAACCATCTTCCCTGGGCCCTTGCAATCACAGAGAACAAGTGTTCTCCTGCTCTGAGACAGCTCCTCAGAGATTTGAGGACAGTGACCTGTCTCCCCACCACCACCCCACCCCCGTGGTCTTCTTTAGAACAGCGTCTCTCAATCTCAACACTATTGACATTTGGGGCAGGATAACTCTTCTTTGTTGGGGGGGGGGCGGCGCTATCCTGTGCATTGGAGGACAGCATCCCTGGTCTCGACCTCCTAGATACTAGAAGCACTCCTTCAACCAAAACTGTTTCCAGACGTTGCTAGATGTCCCCCGGGGTTCAAAATCACCCCTAGTTGAGAATTGCCGCTTTAGATGAAGCCCCTCCAATGCCTTCTCTAAGCCTCAATTTCCTCCTCTGTGAAGTGGGGCTAATCCCTATCTCATGGGGTTGTCATGAGGATGGAGTTAAGAAGTCAGATGTGGAATAGCCTAACCCAGAGGAGTGCCTGGCCCACACAGGTGCTGAGTAAATGTCTCACCACCTGTCACGCACTGACGCCTGTGTGTGTCCAGCCCCATGCTAGGCACTGGGTTCACAGAGATGAGTGAGACTCAGTCCTTGCTCTCGGGAGCTCACAGTCTGAAGGACTAAAAAAAAAAAAAAAAAAAAAAAAAAATGCTCTGCATAACCGTGTGCTGTAACTGTCCTGAAATGAAATACTTTACTTTTGAACACCACTTGGAGACTGTCTGAGGTGTTCACAGCCTATGGTGGTCGAATCCAGAGCGCCCAAGTCCTTGATAAAGACCTTGGGCTATTGAGAGGAAGACTCGTTAACTCTAGACATGGGTTCATTGGCATTTGCCATTGTTTGCTGGGTTCTTTGGGGGGGGCGGGGGGGGGGCAAGAAACACGAAAACCAGACTCCTCTTGGCGCTCCCGGTCCAGCAGGGGGCGACCACACCCTCAGAGTGCTCACCTAAAGCCTCATGGTGAAAGGCACCAAAGCAGCACTCTGGAAGCTCCGGGAAGGGAGCAGGGTCGGGGAGTCCGTGTGAGGTGTTAGATAGAACGGGCTTTCTGGAGAGAACAGCACTCAGTTACTTCCTGTAAAAATCGTAAATGCCTGTTGTGCGTTGTCATTACATGAGGAACTTGCATTTTCTCCCGTCTCTCCTGTTCTGCTCCTCAAGCTTCAGTTCTTCCCAACTCGTGGGTATGTGTGTTTGTGTGTTTATGTCTGCTAGTGGCGGTGGGAGGGGAGGGTGGCTATGAGAAATAGGTGTCATGTGGAAATTCCCCACCCCAAACCCTGCCTCTTGTCTTTTTCCCGCCCCCTGCCAAAGGTCACCAAAATTTTCCAGAAGAAGAAGATCTTGGTGACGTACAGCTTCCGTCAGTCCTTTCCTCTCGTGGAAATGCACATGCAGCTCTTCCAGAATTCATGTGAGTCCCTTCTTGGATCCCAGCATCCCAAAAGTCTATGCCATGGCCCCTGTGCTCCTCCTTCATCCATACCAACCACCAGCTTTTTGGAGCCCTTTACAATGGGACTAAGGTGTCCAAAGCACCTACGTGGTCCTGGGATGCAGGGCAGGCTGGGGTGAAGTATAATTGGGGTCCATGCCCTGGGGAACTCGTGGTCTGGCCGAGAACCGCGGTGTGTATGTTTTCTGGTGGGCCGAAGAGATGGTGATCACGCTGCGCTTTGAAGGACTGAGCCAGAGGAGCTTTGTTGGGTGGCAGCAGAAGCAATGTGAGTAGAGGCAGAGGTGTGAAGGAAGGGGTTCGAGAGAGCAGCTCGAGTCCAGCTTGCCTTCGTATCTGGAGTATAGGGAGTAACGGGGCCATGACTACCAGGAGCTTTGGGGGCTTCGGGGGGACAAAGGGGAGCCGCTAAAGATGCTTGAGCCGAGAGGAGGCTGGATCAGAGTTGGACAGTAGAAAAACCAATGCACGTGTGAGCCACTTGGCTTCAGTCCTGACAGAGGTGCCTGACCTCCCCCTTCCGCACAGATTACCAGTTTGGGATCAAGCTGCTGTCCGCAGTACCTGGCGGGGAACGCAAAGTCCTCATCATCTTCAACGCGCCCAGCCTCCAGGATCGGCTGCGCTTCACGTCCGACTTGCGCGAGTCCATTGCCGAGGTGCAGGAGATGGAGAAATACCGCGTGGAGTGTGAGTAGCCCAGCGGCGCCTCTTTCCCCTTTTCCTGACACAGCAGCCTGCAGACACCAAGAATCCTGTCCTCTGAGGATCTCAGAGTTGAGGGTTAGCTTGTCCAGCCTTCCTACCCTCATTCTAGGAACCTTTCAGTGACAAAGGGCTCATTACCTCTGAATGGCTGATTATTACTCCAGGCCCTAATTATGAACCAACTCTTCCTTCTATTGAAAGGCAGCAGGGAGAAGAATCAGGGTTCTGGAGGTAGGACTCCAGTTTCAGATCCCAGGTTTGCTACTCCTTATTTAGGTAAACCGGGGCAAGTTGCCTGACTCCCAGAGCCCCAGTTTCTTCATACATGACATTGGGAAGATGAAATCTCCTTCACAGAGTTGTGGCATTTCGATGAGGTAAGGTAGACAAGGTGTCCTCTTCCCACATTCCAGTTCCTGAGCTGAGTCCCCATCGCCCATCTTTCTGGCCCCCAGAGGGCCACATCAAGTCATTTTCAGCATATATAATGGGAAATAGTGATCACATCTCATTCCACTCGATGCCCTCCAAGTTTTCTCTTCTCCAGGCTAAGCAGTCACAGTTAAGTAACATGGTGTTGAGGAGAAAGAGGCAGGCAGACACAGAGAGAGAAACTGAGGCAGTGGACAGCTGCTTGGTGAGCTCTTCAACATCCCAGGGTCAACGCTACTCCTCAGCAAGGCAGGGTCACACATTTCAGTTCACAAGATCCCTGAGACCCAGGAGAGGGGCGAGCATACCAAGATGAGGGGGAAGGCGATAGAAGTCTCCATGACCTCCTCGGAGAGGTGGGGGTGTAAAGAGGCTGGAGAATGCAGGCTTTGGACTCAGGCAGACCTGCTTCCAGAATATGGGCTCCCCCATTTCCAGCTGTATGACCTTGGGCAAGCTCTGTGACTTCTCAGGTTCTCAGTTTCTTCCTCTGAAAAATGTGGATGATAATACTTAGCTCTGAACTGTTGTGAGATGGAGCAAGATCAAGTATGCACAGCTCCCAGCATACAGCTAGCACATAATAGAGGCTTCGATTCCTGTTGGTTTCCTGCTCCTGTCCTTCCAGGAGCCCTCTGCTGTGGAGCAAGATATCTGAGAACTGAGCGGACTTTGGAAGGATTGCCCTTTGCTGTAATCCACAAGGGCCTTCCTGCCCCTGCTGTGATCAGCAGCTGTGAAGCTCTGTTTTGAAGGGCAGGGGTGGGTTGGGAAGAGCAGACTGAGAGTGGGCAGGGGAGCCGGGAGCAAGAGGGAGCAAGAAGAACGAGAGGAAGGGGGGAGGAGCTGGAGGAGCGGGAAGAGCAAGCACCAGAGGAGGAACAGAGGGAAAACCCAACCAGGGGAGATGGCACAAAACGGGGCTGGGCGCTGTGGGGCGCTGTGGGGCAGGGGGAGGCGGGGGGACTTCAGAGATGGAGCTGAGGTTTGGGGGGAGCATGCTGCCTGTCCAGGGGGCAAAGCAGGAGGCCTGGGGAGAGAGCAGGCAAGGATGGGGAGGGCTCATGGAGGGCTGGGGTCAGTCAGGTGGCCTTTTACTCCTGTCCCTGACCTTCTGTCCCTGTCTCCCCCGCTACTACCCAGCGGAGCTAGAGAAGCAGAAAGGTATGATGCGGACTAACGCCTCACAGCCCGGAGGGGCCAAGGACTCAGTGAATGGCACACTGGCCCGCAGCAGCCTGGAGGACACGTATGGGGCAGGCGATGGGCTCAAACGGGGCGCGCTCAGCAGTTCCCTGCGAGACCTCTCTGACGCAGGCAAGTCTTCGGGGCCCCCACCCTGGCTGGGGAGATGTGGGACCGGGTGTCCTCTCTGCCTCCTGTCACTGGCCGCCAGCCTTCCCTGCACCCGCCACACCTGCACGCACCCTGCCTTTATCCAGAGCCCTGGGCGCGGCGCCACAGGGGGCCCGGGAGCCAGGTCAGATCAGGTGGAGCCCAGAGTCTGGGCCAGGGAGTGTGAAGTGGGGCCACAGTCTTAGCCCCTCTCTCTCGCTGCTCCACCTCTCCTCCTCTCTTTCCTCTTCTATCTCTCCAGCACCACCTCTCCTCCTTCTCCATCTTTTCCTCCTCTCACGCCTCCTCCTCCACCTCTCCTCCTCCCCACCTTCCCCTCTTCAACGGGGGGAAAGGGGATAGGGGTGTCTGTCCCCGGGAGGGGCCCAGGCCTGGTGCCCAGCTCTGGAGCCCAGCAGGGTGGGGAGGGGGGTTGCTGCTCTGACGCTGGGCTCCTTGCTTGTGGGTGCAGGGAAGCGGGGGCGGCGTAACAGCGTGGGATCGCTGGACAGCACCATCGAAGTAAGTGCCAGCTCCTGCCCCACTCGCCCTCTGCATGAGCCCTGCCCTGCCACGGGGCCCCAGAGGAGGCGGGGACCTGTGGCTTCCCCTCTTCCCTGATGGGGACCTCGAGGCTGCCTCTCCCAGCCACCCACTCTCTCCATCTGTCCTCAACTCTGTCTGTCCTCACTCTGCCTGTCTCTCAGTCTGTCTTCCACTCTCCCTAGCCCCCTCTCAACCCCAGGGCCGACTCTGAGTAGAGATGCCCTTGGAGTTGGACCGTGAGAAGCTCTCCCCTCCAAGTCCTGCTCTTTGAGCTGGAGCAAGTCACTCTGTGTCTCGGGGCCTGCAAAAGGGGGATGAGGAGGAGGTCCTACTGATTGTTTCTCTCCCAGCGGAGGCTCAGATGAGATAGTGGATGCGCCAGCAGAGCCCTGCAAGCTGGGGGGCTCCATGTACAAAGCACAGGACTGTTACTGGTTTTCATTACGCCCTGGGCATTCCTGTCTCCCCAGCTCCAGCCCTCAGGGACCGGGTGGAGTTTAGGGTTGGGGGTTTAGGAAATCTAGACTGGCCTGACTTTCCCCCCCCTTCCCCGCTTCCAGGGGTCTGTTATTAGCAGTCCACGCCCTCACCAGAGGATGCCACCTCCACCCCCACCCCCGCCGCCAGAGGAGTACAAGAGCCAGAGGCCCGTCTCCAACTCCTCATCCTTCCTGGGCTCCCTGTTTGGAAGCAAGCGGGGCAAGGGGCCCTTCCAGATGCCACCACCGCCAACGGGCCAGGCCTCTGCCTCCTCCTCATCTGCTTCTTCCACCCACCACCACCACCACCACCACCACCATGGTCACAGCCACGGTGGCCTGGGGGTGCTGCCTGACGGGCAGTCCAAGCTCCAGGCCCTGCATGCCCAATATTGCCAAGGACCAGGCCCTGCCCCGCCGCCCTACCTCCCACCCCAGCAGCCCCCTCTTCCCCCACCTCCTCAGCAGCCCCCACCCCTGCCCCAGCTGGCCTCCATCCCACCACCGCCCGCCTCGGCCCCACCCGTGGGGCCACATCGCCACTTCCATGCCCACGGCCCAGTCCCAGGCCCCCAGCACTATACCTTGGGCCGGCCAGGCAGGGCCCCCAGACGGGGGGCTGGAGGACACCCTCAGTTTGCTCCACATGGCCGCCACCCCCTGCACCAGCCCACATCCCCATTGCCCCTGTACAGTCCTGCCCCCCAGCACCCTCCAGCCCACAAACAGGGCCCCAAGCACTTCATCTTCAGCCACCACCCACAGATGATGCCAGCAGCGGGGGCCACTGGGGGCCCTGGATCCCGGCCACCAGGGGGCTCCTACTCCCACCCTCACCACCCCCAGTCACCCTTGTCACCGCACTCCCCCATCCCACCCCATCCTTCCTACCCACCCCTGCCCCCACCCTCACCCCACACCCCACACTCGCCCCTGCCGCCCACCTCCCCCCATGGCCCACTGCACGCCTCTGGGCCCCCTGGCACGGCCAACCCACCCAGTGCGAACCCCAAGGCCAAGCCAAGCCGGATCAGCACCGTGGTCTGATGAACGGAGGGAGCGAGCTGGGGCCCAGGGAGGTCTGGGGAATCCACAAGAGATTCCCCGGTTTTTCCAAAATATATATACACATAGAGATGTCCTCCTCCCCACTTCCTCCCTGCCTCGGAACCTCTCCTCTAACCCCCAACAGGCGCCGTGGGGTTTCCTTCCAGATTCAAGGATCCTTGCCACTTGAAGCCTGGACACAGGGCTCTCAAGCTCTGGGGAGTGGTGAGGACCTTTTGGAGATCCTCGTCCTTTTTTTTTTATTTTTTTTCCTCTCTCCATCCCCCACCCCGACCCCCGCTCCCCAGAGGTGGCCTCAGACCTCTGGGCCAGTGTGGGCTCCCTGTCAGCTCTGGCTGGTAGAGAAGGGCAGGCAGGTGTCAGGAGCGGTGAGGGTGAAGGCTTCCCCAGAGCACCTCTAGCCACACGGGGCTAGAGGGAGTTCTGTAGAGTTGTGGCCAAACCTCAGCTGGCTCAGCCCTCTCTCAGACCTCAGGGCCTGGCTAAATCCCTCCATGTGTCTCTCCACCTGCCAGAGGAACAGGGCTGTCGGTGCCCTCGGTGGGTGGGCCCCCACTAAGGCTGGCCCCCCAAAGGGGCAGTGCTTCCCCTCCAGAACCAGCCTCTGTCCTTTCTCCAGTGGGCCCCAGCCCAGACCTCTTCAGCTTCAGGACCTTGCCTCTCACAGCAACGTTCTTACCCTGATCAAAGTCCAGACAAGTTTGGGGGGCGGGGGCTCAGGTCTGGGATGAGAAGGGCACTGCCCTCCCTCACCCATATTGCATGCCCCCCCCATTCCCTTACACCTACCCCACCTACAACCGAAGACAATGCACTTTACAGATCTTCTTGCCCACATACACCTCGCTGGGGCAAGGGCACCCAGCATTAGCCCTGGGGAGAGAGGCTCCCAGAGGGCCACCATAAGCCCATGATGTCCTTCCTGAGGCAGATTGAAGCCATCAGAGCGGGGGCTGGGAGCCAGGATGCCTGAGTCCTTCTGTCCGTCAAAATCTCTGCTGCCTCTCCAGCCCCTTTACAGCCCTGTTTATTTATTATAAATATATTTTTTACAAGCCCCAGCTCCTCTTCTTGCCCCGCATACCCAGCTCCTTTCTCAGCTCCTGCCTCCCTCTCCCCCCCTCCACCGTGGGCTGCAGTACAGACAGACAGACCCTGGCTGTATGAAGGTCCAGGGACCCAGGGGCTTGGGGGTGGGGGAGGGCAGCAGCCGGAGGGGCTGTACGGAGAGGAGCTGGGGTTCAGGCATTGTCTTTTTTCCTCCTTGTATATAAGAATGTATATTTGATGCCTCATAAAAGACCTTGTGCTCACCTCCCGCCTCTGCCTCCTACTTATGCCCCCTCCCCCCCGGGGTGGAGCCCATGGAGAGAGAGGCCTTTAGCCCCGGGAGGTGAGGACTAAGGGTAGCAGCCAGGCACCTGGGTGGGTGAGATGCCTTGGTTGGGTGCGAGGTGGGGGAGGAGGGAGGTTTCCCCTTCTCAGCTCATTAACTCACTAACTGCCTGCCGGACCGCAGCAAGGGTGTGGGCTTTGGAGTTGAGCCAGTTCAAATCCTGGGACTTTCCCTCCTGAGGCATGCACACTTGGGAAAAGCACCCTCTCAGTCTCGGTTTTCTTAATTTAAAACTGGAGGTGATGAGCCGTTGCCACAGGGAGTCGCGATGATGACAGGCCGTGACGAATGTCAAGCAGACAGCATGGAGCAGGTGCTCTTGGGAAGTTTAGTTCCCCGCTCTTCCTTTCACAGGTTGGAGACTTCCTTCTGCTCTTGTGCCACCTATGCTCACCCTTCCAGTGGCTGGCCCGGCTATGCCCTGGGGCCTTCCCCACCCAGCACGCCCCCCGCCCCGGGGTGAGCCGTGTTTCTGCCCTTGGGTGGGGGTGGGTAGGTGACCTGAGCCAGGAAGCCAGGGGCTAGATCCATTATAAGAGCTCTTACGTGTATATACTTAGGTTGTCAGGTAACAGATGGCTGGATTTTCCTCAGCTTACACAGGAGGGGACAAGTCCAGAGAAGGGAAGGGTCTTTTCCAAGGCCACACAGCAAGTCGGGACAGGGGTTCCTGACTTCGAGGCCAGGCCACTCTCCAGTCCCCCAAACTGCCCCCCCCCCCCGGAAATGAACATGTTTCCAGCCCCGCCGATTATGTCCTGGCAAAGTCCAGGAGGAATGGGGCAGAGCGTTGGCTCTTGGTTAGGGTCAGCAGGGTCCCCAGAAGCAGCAGCCGGTAAACATTTTTGGTGCCTTCTTAGAGTCTGGAATAGCCTCTTAGAGGGAATGGTTTGAGGGTCCCTCGCTAGCAGCTTGGACCTATGTCTCAGTTTTCATCTTTGTATGCACATTCGAGTGGAAGAAGCAGCTGGGGCCATCTAACCATTTGATGCCTCCTCGAGGACCCAACCTGAGCTTTCGAAGAGCTTAGATCCACAGGGCCCAGAATGAAATCCAATAAGCATTCTGCTTGTTTGTTTCTTCCCTGGTGAGCCAGGCTGGACTCTCCCTTCTCCCACCTTCAACTTGATGCTGGTTTTGTCTTCCCAAAGCTTAGCTGTTAGCACTCGAATCCTGGCTCAGTCTCAGACTTGACCGTGTTGCCTTTGGCAAATCACCTAGCCCCTCAGAGCCTGGTCTTTCACCTGTATAATATGGGTAATAATCTTGCAGGGAAATTGTTAACAGATGCATGTGAAATGCCTGCCTCCTGCCAGACACACAGTAAAGCTGTTCTCTGCCACCTACAGAAACGAACGCAAACTCCTTGTCTTGACACTGGAGGTCCTCCACCACGCGGCCCCAGTCGAACTCCTCATCCTCATTCCTCGCCCACACCTCGACCACCCACTCATTGTTCCCTGAGAAGGCCTGTGCGTAATTTTCCGGCTCCGTATTTTACCTGTGCCTGCCCCCACCCCCGCCAAAAGTGCTCCCCTCCCCCCCCCAGCCTCCCTGAGGAAGTTTTCCTCACTCTGCTGAGATGGGCTTAAAAGGCCCATCCCTCACAAAATGTGCCCTTGATCACATCCTCTGAGATCCTTCATGTCGCTATCTTTCTTCCCCACCAGGCCCTAAGTGGCTCAAGAATGACAACGGTCTGAATCATCGCTGTTTAGAGCGTTGCACAGCACAGATAACACGGAAATTCTGTTGATTTGAATGAATGTATAGTTCTTTCTAAGCTGACTCTTAGAGTAAGGTATCTTTGCATTGGTTGGCTTACTGATTGGTGCAACCTGCGTATCGAGCTTCTGGGCCCCCTGGGACCTCTTCGTGCCTCCTTCAGCTCTTTCCTATGTTCTCCCTGCCCCTCCTCATTGCAGCACCAGCACTGGGCTGTCCCTGCCCCCGCGCCCCCCCCAACTCCCCGGAGCCTCACCATCCAGACTGTGGAGGAGGGGTAATTTGATTCCTCGCCTCCCCATTTCTTTGAGGGCCTGAAGACAAGAAGCCCAGTGGCTGTCTGGCCATCAGAGGCTCTACTGCCAGTCTCTTTGGGGATGTGGATGGGAAGGGGCAACACATAACAAAGGACAAAGGTCCTAGATTCTCACAGAGTTCTTTGTCTTAGACCAGTGCTGTCCAATAAGTCTTTCTGGGATGATGGAAATGTCCTATATTTGTGCTGTCCAGTACAGTAACCCCTAGCAAATGTGCCTATTGGGCACTTGAAATGTGGCCAGTGCAACCGAGGAACTGATTTTTTTTTTAATTTAAATAGAAATAGCCACAGGGCGCCTGGGTGGCTCAGTCGTTAAGCGTCTGCCTTCGGCTCAGGTCATGATCTCAGGGTCCTGGGATCAAGCCCCGCATCAGGCTCCCTGCTCAGCGGGGGGCCTGCTTCTCCCTCTCCCACTCCCCCTGCTTGTGTTCCTGTTCTCGCTGTCTCTCTCTGTCATATAAATAAATAAAATCTTTAAAAAAAAAATAAATAGAAATAGCCACGTGTGGGTGGTGGCTACCATATTGGACAGAGCAGGACAAGACAAGTTCAGGAGGGAACAGCCTGGCAGGGATAATGTCCATGCCATATGATACTAAGTACAGGCCCAGAAGGGAGCAGAGCACCCTTGCCCAGAAGGGGTGCAGAGAAGGGGAAAACCCAACTTGGGGGTGGGGGTGGGTGGGCAAGGAAGGAACTGCCCCTTTAGCTGAGTCTCGAAAGGTGAGTAGGAATCACCCTGGTAAAGAAGGGCATTCGTCAGAGGGAGCAGGGTATACAAAGGCGTGGAGGTGTGTGAGTGTGTGATCGGTTAGTGGCACAGTGAGAAGGAATGGGAGACGGATGCCCAGGGGGTAGGCACGGCATATTCTGGAGCCCGGAGGCTGGCAGGCAGTGTGCCTTCTTTCCTCTGTTGCCAATAGGTTTTTTTCACCCGAGCCTCATGAGGACCTAAAGGAAGACCCGGTGGCACATTGAGCTACACAGTGTTCCCCACTGTAAAGTTACTGTTTTTCCCCTTTGTAGTAAATGAGCAACTCGTAGAGAGCGACGTTGAGATTATGTAAATATCCCGTTCTCAAACTTTCACCCACCTGTATTCACTGATGATTCTCCAGTTGCCAAATGGTGATTTTCAAATGCCATCATTCTTTTGACACGGATTAGTTGGCTTTCCACTGTAAGGAAGAGCTTGCCCCTCTTCTACAAGTATTTGTTTATATCCTCATGGACTCTTGATTGTCTATTGTATTTGAAGGGTTATAACACATTAGTATCATTCTTTATTATGACGTTTAAGATGCCCCAGATTTGGCCAGCAGGAGGCCCTCTGGGAGCTGGCTCTTATGTCCTTTTGGCAGGTCTCCATCTTTTTTTTTTTTTTTTGAGCACTTCCTTGTATTCTGGCACCACAAGATGCTCCAGGCCCATCATGTACTTTCCCTGCCCCAGTCTTGGAATCAGCCACTTTTTCCAAGGAGCCCTGGTTCTTTTTAGTAGAGAATGGCATTTAGGAAGCAAGATTTGGGCCAAGATTTCAGTGTTATAGCTATGTTTTAAGAATTTATTTCTTTGCTTGGAAAAAGTCTGAACATCTGTTGATGATCTTCTTACTCCATCCTTCCTTTAAGGAAAAGCTTTCCTTTTTCCCTCATTTTATTTATGTATATCAGTGTGGAGTCATGGATTTTTATTTCACTCTTCAATGAGTTATAATCCACTATCAATTCATTTGGAATTATTATTTTGAATATATCATTTTATTGTTATGTGTATGGATATATCCATGAATTCACACAGATACCTTGATACCTTGAAGAGGCTCTTTTAATAATCCAGGCTAGAGAGAGTAAGTGGCTCTCAGGGGAATAGAAGAATAGACAATGGTAGAGGGAGGAGGGAATGGATTCCAGAGGTATTCAGGAGTTAGAACTCACAGCTCATACCTGCTTCAGAACTAGAAGGGACCCTATTTTACAAATCAAAAAAGTAAGGTACAGAGAGTCACTCTCATCCTGTCCATTCAGAAAACACGGATGGGGTGAGGGTGGTGGAGAGCCCAGCCTAGGCTTCCAATCACTGTTTTGCACTGGCTCCATGCCAGACTCTCTCTCCCAGGTGGGTGGGTGAGGCCGACCTAGCCCCCAGCCCAGGGTGAGCTCCCTGGTGCTTATCAGTTCTTTACTCTGCAGTGCCCGGATGCCGGTTGATCTCCAGCATGACCCAAGGGTTGGGAAAGGAACCCATTTCCTGAGCACCTCACTGGGGCTGGGGCGGGGGGGAGCACCATCTGAAACTTTTACAGGCAGAATTGTGCAGCAGTCAGACAGACCTAGGTTTGAATTCCAGCTCTGCCACTTACTAGCCACATGCTGTGGTAAGTTCACACTTCCCTGAGCTTCAGTCCCCTTAATGTGTAAAACAGGGATAACAATACCTATTTCATAGCCCTTGGCCCTTGATGAATGGCAGTTATCATTATCTCTAATCTTCATAACTACCCTGTGAGGAAGGGATTACAGAGCCTCATTGGATAAATGAGAAAATCAAGGCTAAGGAAGAAGAGGTACTCGGCAGATCTCTGTTGGTGAATGTCAGCTTCAGGAAAGCAGGGACCATATGTGTCTTGGTCACCATCATATTCCCAGGGCTCAGAAGAGTGCCTGGTGCATAAGAGGAGTTTAATAAATATTTGTGAATGAATGAATTAGATCCAACTGGCTTCAAAGACTCTGTGCAATCTCCATTTGCCCTTCCAAGATGGTGGGTGTGGTGTCTGGGCTAAGGACCTCAGAGAAGGCTATGGGATGTGTGGGCTGAGCTGAGCCCCCAAACCTGGTCTCCTGACTCCTTATTCATTTCTTTGCCCTTCACTGAGCTGCATTTGATGGAAAGGCTGACCTGCCTTCAGCCTAGGATTTGGCATATCTCCCACCTTCTGCATTCTCCTCGCCCTTCTGCCTGGTCCTATTCCTGGTGAGAGCAAATGATAGGAAGAGCATTTGACCAGGAGGTAGCAACTTCCTGGGCAATAGGAGGCAAGTTGTTTAATCTTTCTAGAATTTAGTTCCTCATCTACAGAATGGGTAAGTTAACCTACATCTTTCCCGGGACAAAGGTTAAGGGAAATTGCAAAGATTAATAATAATTAAAATAATTAGGCCTATCTGACACTAGGATGTGAGCTCCTACTGGTGTGCACTGCTCTATCAGGATGTCTTCAGCTCAGTCCTCAAGTAGGCAGAATGATGTACCTAACTGGGACATGGTACAGTTAACTGTTCCTGTTTCAAACATATTCAAGCTTGTAACAGATGCTTAATATACACAGGAAGTATTTGCAAAGAGCATGTATTATTTTCAGTCAATATATGCTAAGGATGCTCAAAAATATATGTTCGTTTTTTCTTTTGTTTACTCAACATTTACTGCTTACCATGACAAGTGCTAGGGATGTATAAAGCCACATGGTCCCTGCCCTTAAGGAATTCAGTCTGATGGGGGAACACAAAATAAGCATTTAATCAGCATGTATACATGTACTTTAATATGTGCACAGGTGTTCAAACTATATGCAATAGGCCCACAACCAAAAAATAACATAATCCTCAAATGCAGCAGATGCCTGATGTGTGGGCAAAGTACTGGTCTGATACTCAAAGTAGTTGCCATAAACCTATTCAGAAACTGCTCAATGAACATGCACACAATAGGAGTAGATGTACACGTAGTAGGTACTCAAATGCATGTGACAGGGGCTAAACACAATAAATACAACCCATGTACACAGATGTTTGATAAGTACGCTGTGGGCTCACAAATGCTGTTTCATACAGTAGGCGCTAGTATGCGATAGGTAAATATGCTGTTGTTAAACATCCAACAATGAAAATATATATACACTCAGGCCTAGTTTATGGGAGTCCATTCTGCAAATGTGCACACAATAAAAGTGCATACAGAAACAGTTCAAAGAGTTCAGTAAAATGCTGACTGACAATGACTCTTTGCGGGGTATGAATGGAAGCCCCATCTCCGAGAGGCCTCTGCACATAACCGTGGATGAAATATATATTTCCTTCCTCTCCTTGGGACCCAGAATTCTAAAAATCCATAATCCCCAGGGGGTGAGCAGCAGCTTGCTCTCCTTGTTTCAAAGCCCCAGAGGTATCCGCGCCTAGGGCTGGGAGCTCCCTAAGTCTTTCCCAACATGCTTGCCAGCATAAGGGATCCTTAGCAATCAGGCACCCAAAGCCGCTTTCGGCGGCTCACACCGGAAAGACCCTGAAGAAGAAAATGTTGGGGCGGGGCCCGCGCCAGAGCTGAGGTCATAGAGGGGGAGCCAGTTTGGGCCCACCACCCACCAACGCCAGCTCCTCTTCCGGTCTGTCTTCATAACGCGCATGCGCACCACTGGCCTTTAAACGTGCGCCGCCGGTCCATCCGGAAAGAGGAGCCGGCAGTTTAATTACAATTTTGCCCCTCCGCCGCCGAGGTGGACTATTTGCTCTCAGTCTGGGAGGTACTTTTGAGTTCCCGCTTCCAATTAGGGAACCTACACATGAGATTCAGCTCGGTCCCCACGGGATGAAAGTTTCCTAGGGCTTGGCCTCACGCACAGTATACGAGGCTCGGAGGGACACACCGCGGAGGGATTCGGTTTGTTGTGGTGTGGGGAGGGGGGAGACGCTGACAAACCAAGATGGCGGCGGCGGCGGTGAAGGCCGTGGCGGCTGGGAGGTAACTGTATTGGTGAAGGCTGAGGTAGTTGGGAGGCAGCGGCAGAGTTTGGAAGGAACGGAGCAGGACGAAGAGGCGGTAGCAGTAGCGCCAGCCTGAGCCTCTCAGAGCGCGGCAGCTACACGCCCCCCAAGGCCCTCGGCGGGCGGCGGCCACCCCGCTTAGGGCCTAGTCCCCGAGCAGTGCCTCGGCTTCATACAGCGGCGTCCGCCATGAGTCCTTAAGGGTGGTCCGAGCCCTCCAGTCCTAGGGCCCACCATGGAGCCGGGGTCCGACGACTTCCTGCCGCCGCCGGAGTGCCCGGTGTTCGAGCCTAGCTGGGCTGAGTTCCGAGACCCTCTAGGCTACATCGCGAAAATCCGGCCCATCGCCGAGAAGTCGGGCATTTGCAAGATCCGCCCACCCGCGGTAAGGCCCGGGGTCTGTGGTCGCCGCCCACGATGCCGGGGATGAAGAACTAGGGTAGCTGGCTGAGAACTCTGGGGCGGAGGGGGCATCTCGAGGTGCGGGGAAATGGGGTGGCTGGGACCGCTGTGGATGTGGCGCGGGGTCGGAGAAAGGGTGATGGGGCCCGGGGCGGGTCCTCTCGTGGTGTGAGGCCCCCAAGGGACCTGGGGGTCAGAGACCCACCCTCGCTTCCACTCCGCCTTTCAGATTCATTCCTGGTAAGGTTCAAAACAGGGATGCCTGGTGGGCCGGGGAGAGTTCAGAGAGGTACCTGCATATCTCTCAGTTACCCTGGACCACCCAGGTCAAGGCTGCCCTGAATAAGGCCATTTTTCCGTTTATTGTCATCGCTTCCCTTAAGGCAGGCAGTGTGGTGTAGTGGAAAGACCACAGCTGTAAATGGAGACAGACCTTAGT